TCAGAAAATGCTCAAAACATAGCATTTTTTTACGAGATTTGTGGGCGCTAAGAGCGCTGGCCTCTTTTTTAATTTTAATATTCGAAGGAAATTTAGAAGTCGAAGTCAAATTTCCGTCAATATGGACAGATGAAAAGCAGAGATGGGAAGAGTCAGAAAGAAGAGAAGAGTAGAAGAGAGAAGATCAGATACGAAAAAAAATCAGAAGAAAGAAGATATAGGTACGCGAAAAGGTAGGAAAGTCGCGAAACCCTGTCTTTTTCCAATGATTTGTGGCTCCAGAGGGTCGAAAAGTAGGCTCGCTAAAGCGGCGGGTGCGGAGCCAGCTGGCCAGATGAGAAACGAAAAATTGCACGCCGTTGTGGCGCGAAGCACGTTTCCAAGTCAAAATGTACAAAGCACAACAACGTCTGACCACTTTTGGAAGTTGTGATGTCGAAAAAGTGCACGCCGTTGTGGCGCGAAGCGCATTTCCAAGTCAAAATGTTAAAGCATATTTCGAAGTCAAAATGTACAAAAAACCACATGTTCGCGCCACTTTTGGACGTTCAGATGTCGTTTCGCGTGACAGGCACAAGGGATTGTAGCATTTCCAAAAACGATGGCAGGCGTGGGATATTTAAAAAAGGATCTGCAAAGATGAATTTCGCGTGGCAGGCGCAGTACAAAACACATATTCATCAGAGATGTTAGGAGGTCAGGGCACTGATTTCCTGAGAGGGGTTGCATTTTGGAGCCTCAGATCTTCAGGTTTGCTGAAATAATTTTGTGTGTGACAGGTGCAGCAGTTCGTATGACCTGGCATCAGTTTTTCGTGGCAGGCGCAGCAGTTTAAATAGATGGAGTAGAAAAATCGCAAAACACATTGGTACGAGGCCGTCAGCTCTGCATAGCTCTGCCCTCAACTTTGCATTTTTAAAGGACGTCTCGCAGAATTGCTTCGTTTTTGATGTTATCAATTTAAAAAAAGGTCTCGCAGAGCTGCTTCGTTTTTGACGTTGTCAAGTTCAAAAATTAAGGAAATTTCACTAAATTGCTGCGTTTTTAATACTATCAAATTCAAAAACTCAGGAAGTCTGGCAGAAGAGCTTCGTTCACGAGCTTGCAAAGAGACAGATAGATAAAGAGAGAGACAGATAGACAAACAAATAAATAGACAAACAAATAGATAAATAAATCGATAAACAGCCACAACTACAACAACAACAACAACAACCACAACCACAACCACAACCACTACTTACACTTTCACTACTACTACTACTGCTGCTGCTACTACTACTGCTGCTACTACTACTACTACAAATAAACTAACTACGCTACATTACACTATACTAATTACACTATGCTACACTACACTAATTACACTGCTGCATGCTACAACTACAAATACAAATGCAACTACAACTACACTACATTGCACAACGCTACACTACACTAATTATACTACATTACGCTACAGCTACAACTGCAACTACACTTGTAACTACCACTAAACTGCACGACACGACTCTACACCAACTACACTACACCACACTACAACTACAACTACACTACCTTACACTACTATACCACACTGCGGTACACAATACTACAATACACTACAATACAATACACTAAGAGTATTATTATGTCATTTTCCTTATTTTCTAGGAGTATTATTTTTTTCGTAAGGAAATTTATTTCCCGATATTTATTATGTTTCTTTATATTGTGATATAAATTTTGAGATCTTATTAATTGTAATTCTTTTATTTGGTATGTTCTTTGGCTGTGTTCTGAGCTCATTGTTGGCGTGAGCAGTATATAATTACATATAATTACTACAGTAATAAGATTTGGATAGATTTAGCAAAATTATGCCAAAATCTCTGCAAAGCACGAACCCCCTACAAAATGACACCTTAAAATCAACAGACCCAACCCAGCCAAGTTTTCAAACTGCATTTACCCAGCCAAGTTTACAAACTGCATTTTGAAATTGCTATAATACGGTTGTGATTTTATGCTTAAATCATCTATTTCATTGCTCTTACAAGGTGCAGGCAACTCCCTACAAAATGGCCTCTGAAATGGGCCTTGAGGCCATCCATTCCATAGGGGAAATTTCAACGGGGATGGTTGTGATATGTTGTGATCTGTAATATCTTCGACACTTACATGAAGGTGCACGGCTTATTGATGTTCACGTTCATTCTTGCAAGAACGGTGTACTCATGTGTACTCCTTTACTTCGTATATGCTCTACTGCAAACATTGGTAGACAAGATTATGTTTGCGAATTGTTTCTCCAGACTCTTTTTGATCATCACTATCATCTTGAAGAGTTCGTCCATCGCTGCTCGCGCCTGCAACAATCCACGCGGAAAGTCTGAGCAAGCCCATACAGTACAGAGAAACGCTACGTCCACTAAGTTATTGGAAGAAATAAACTCATCATGTGTATCTTTATCACTGTATGCCACCATAATGCCTGTGCACACATGCGTGATTATATGTGCGTGCGTGCGTGTGAGTGTGTGTGTGTGTGCCTGTTTATGTATGCATCCTTGTCAAACCCATGCCTTCCTCTGGACCACCTCCAATACCGCTGGATGCTTCTGCCTCAGGTGCCATAACAAAGGTGGCCAACCTTTGTAAACTTTCGTGCAACGCATTGCCTGTACATGTTCTGTGCTCCGGACCTTGTCCATGGCATCAGATGGCTTGGGCTTGGGAGTCAGCCTCAGAAACAGAACATCACAAAAGGACATCTTTCTCAGATCGAATGTAAAGGGTTGTTATTGCATCTAACTGCCTGCAAGAACTTTTTCCAAGCCTCTTCTCCATTCACAAAAACTCTTTGAGGCTTGAACTCCCCATGATGATAGTGCACTGGCCTCACGACGTTCGAGAGTTGCCACCATTCATGCAGGTCATGTCCACATTCTTGACATTGTTTTGAAGCTCAGATTGAAACGTTGCTTCCTGCTGACCAGGAGCAGTTTGCAACCTTAGAGCAAGTTTCTATAGGTTGTGTTGTACTATGCTGCATCCTATGTGCGTCCTGTTCTCATGCTCAGGCCAGAAACCATCCAGAACCATGACGCTCTCCATGCAGGAACTCACCTGAATGAGAATCCATCGGCACCACAATTAATCGGTCATCATTCTGGCATCACTGGTGCTACCAGGCAGCTGGATTCATCTTTGATGGGGCCAAATGAATTTAACTTTGCCAAAAACATGTTGGATACATTGGACTCTTGTGGATACGAGCCAGGCCTTCATATTTGGACTGGTCCAGGCTGAAGGCAAAGCCACGGCCATGCGCATCGCCAGATTGATACTGCCCTTGCGAGCGTGGGCCATGTCACTGGAGCCATCTGTAGCCATCTATAGCT